TTGATTACTCAACATGAACACGAGTCAACTGGAAAATATCCTGAGGGAAGATCCAATAACACGTCAAAAATTTTGTGGGGTTTTTGCTGAAAACACCCTCCCTATCCAAGTGGAACATTACCCATGCGGTCTGGTTGTAAATGACGAACCGAAAGGAATGCCGGGAAAACACTGGCTGTCAATTTATTTAACCTCACCAAGAAATGGAGAGTTTTTTGATAGTTATGGGAAACCACCCCATCATTATAGCGAGAACTTTGTGAAATTTTTAAATCAAAACTGTCAAGAATGGATATTTAATGACAAAAAACTTCAAAGTGATTGGAGTCGTGTGTGCGGACACTATTGCGTGTATTATTTAATGAATCGCTCACGTGGTGTTAAAATGAGAACCATTGTAAATCGATTTAGTGGGAATTCATTTGAAAACGACCTCAAGGTTGAGAGTTTTGTTAACAAATTAATGATACAATAAAYGTTTTATGCATATTTATTGAGTCTTTTTTTCTTAATATTATGTTACAAGTATATTTCAAATCAGTCATATGAAATCCACTCAAGTCCTCGCCTAGGTGCGACTTTAAGCCTTTTTCTTTGAAGGTCTGGAGAAATAGGATATTTTCGTGGTCGGGTGGGTGGAGTTGGGGATATAGTAGCACTTTCAGGGGTCTTATTCTTTTCTTTAATGATGACATTAACATTCTACGATTGTTGTTTCGAATAAAGTTCTCGGGTGTGTTTATTTTAGCCAAAACATGTGCGAAATCATTTCTTCCTGAGGGAGAAAAACCTTTTCGATTCCTCAAAACATCATTGACAAGATCAGTAATGCTTGACCCTTGTAGAGGCTTCCCCTCGAGAGAGACAGTTCCTTTGTCATCCCATGTTATATATTCAGGTGACTTATTAATCCATCGTAATAAACCCTCAGCCTGAGATTTAAATCTCTTTGGGACAGTTTTCAATATTTCTGAATCGCTCACTGCTTTCTGTTTGGGTTCCTGTGCTTGTTGAGGTTCTTGGGCTTCCTGTGTTGGGATTATATCTGAGTGAATTTTCACTGTGGGAATGAAATTTTCTYTTTGTTCTTGTAAATTGAGAAATCTTTGAAACTGCTGTTCGTGATTTTTCAGTTTTACATCGTCTGGCAGGTAAGGGTTTGCAAGGGTTTTTTCCATTTGATGATTTAAGGCACCCATGGATTTAAGCAAAGGTGTTGTCTGAAGGTCGGTTTGTTGTTKAATTYGATTCAACAGTTCTTCAGGAATAAGGATCATTTTTCGTGCGAACTTCATTTCATGAGCAGACTCCCCAAGGCTGATAATACAGGAGGAAGAAGAAGTSCTAACAAACTACCACCACGCTGTTCAAGTTTCACTCTCTTCTGCTTGAGGGAGACCTTCTTATCAGCTAACGCCCTTAGTAGAGACTTGAAACGTTTCAACTTCTTTTTCTGGCTTGGGTTGATAGGTACAACTCCCTTTAGAACGTTGAGGGAAATCTCTGYCAAGCACTTAATCAAATCCACGTGACAAGTTTTTAAAATTGATTTTCTCTGTTTTGRATTGGATCGTGCTAAAACGCGAAGCAAATCTAAGTTGTGTTTCATCCGCTGAGACATCCTCAAATGATTTTGAGGCTACTGTGTACGACCTTATGTACGCTTGATGTAGACCACTTGTTGTTCATC